CATGCACGTATAGAATTTGTTTGAAAACATAGCGGAATATGTTCGGAAAGATAAAAATTTATGTTAAATGTGGTATACCGTTGACAGAATAAAAAGTAGAAGATGCTTAATTCGGAGATAAACAGAAAGTATAAATGCTGCCATCCTTGGACTAACGAAAAGAATTGCGTCTCAACCGTGTTAAAGCTAGACCGCATATTTGAGAGATGCAATACACATATGGTATCTGGCAAAAAACAACATCTATTGCGTTTTCAGGGAGTTCTTTTCTAGAGCTTTTTGTTTGCCATTTACCCTCTTCTATCGCATCAAATTGAATTATCAAGAGATTTTTTTTTTTTGACATAATTATAGTACTTTTTGTATATTCTAGATTTCCTACACTGCTTGGAAAGAGTTATAATTCTGCTAAGTAGATAGTGAATGTCAGACTAAGCAGGGCATCTGAGAAACCGAAAACAGAATATGACCAATAACGATAGGGAAGCAAAGACCTGAATTTCTGAGTGAAGAACGCCATGAAGTGCCATAACCTCGTATGCACAGTATCGCAAAACTGCACTGACTTTCACGTACTCTGACCATGGGCAGAAGAAGTGACTGAACCTGCCATGCGGCGGCTCCCATTTGGCTGAATTAGCCTTCAAATATAAGCAAAGATAATAAAATATGGTTACCGTTTCCTAATCTTTGAGAACGAGAAAGAAACGAAAAAGACTTAATAGTCTAGTTGAACGTGATTTATAAACTAGTTGTACCAATGATTCCAGTTTAGCAGAAGAACTCAAAGTGGATCGACATTTCTTGTATGCAGGCTCATCTGGAAAGTCATCCATCACAGTACTTGAGAACTCTGGATGATTTGATCCATCGTCTTCTAGATACTTTTTAACACATTCTGAAACGTACCAGGTTAACGATTTTATTGTTTTCCAAAGTGAAAGAAATGAAATTATTGGAGTTAAATTGTTGATTACCTTCAAGAGCGTCAGCCACTGATTTAAAGTTAGTTACAAGTTCTTGATGCAACTGCTCCCCAGCCCAAATAGGAAATATTAGTACATTCACTGAGACTGCTACAATCCCTCCAATGGCTATTGAATAAAGCCGATCCATGGATGTTCTTATTGGATTCCCCATTCGATATCCAGAAACAATGATCAGGCAGTAGGTGAAGAGTATTACGCGAAAACCATATTCATATGGCGCAAGAGGAGGCCAGAACTTCATGAAGGATGTAATAGCCCCTGCGAAACAAAGTTAATTGAACAAAATATCTTAGTGTGGATGGTCTGTTTCTAATAATAAGAATAATAATAAAATATTATTATTATTCTGTAAGATTTTTCTTGTTTGTCAGATTGGTAGGTAAATGGGCAAAAGGGTGACATACCAACTAGGAAGATGCTGATACCAATAATAATAGGCTCAGCAACAGGACCAGTGTTTAAGGCTATTTGAGCAACAACAATTGCTAAAACTCCTGCCAGCAGGCTTCCAAGTGCTCGGTTGAATCCTCTATTGAACGTGGATCCTGTTGAACAAAAATGCAACAAAGAATTCTAGTTATGCATTATTCTCCTAGTATTAAACATTTCAACTGAATGTTTGATAATGTATTAGAAACATGTCGTGTATGATATTTTGTACAATAATATTCAATTTTTACGTGTTGTCATACTTTACAGGTATTCAATACCTTTTTTTCCAATATTTATGAATAACTCAGCTAATTTTCCTCCTTAGCTTACAAGAAAGAAGAAGTCAGGTAATTTTCCACTTTCAACAAGCTACATACCAACCGTATATTCGAACATGATGGCCACAGTGAGGATAGACCATATAATGTTGGATCCAAAGACATGATAAGGAGCCCGGATCAGAATTAGCAGCGAAACCAGAAGAACAGCAAGGCCAACTTTCAAAGCGAATATTATTCTGTTGGTATCTTCCTTGCAAAATTTCCAGACCTCCATAATCCATCCTCTGCATGAGAAGCCAGAGTTCTTCTCAGCATCATGGAAAATAACTTTGCTAACCTGCGGTATATTGATCTCAATACTACCATTTTTCCCATTCATTCTCCAAAGAAGAAATATATCCCTCTCCAAATCTTGTTCTAACTGGGCTTCTTTGATTTTTAAAGTTCCCGTAGCTTCAAAATTACGAGAACTAGCCCTCGAAATAGAAATATTAGGATTTCAAGAAGAAAGTTTTATCAACTTTTGTGCTTCTTGACGGACGGGAAAAAAATCTTCAGGAAATTAGTCAGTTGAAATGAGGAGCACAAGTGGTTTGTTGTATGGTATGACTAAGAGATATAAAGAACTGGCTGTATTGGGGATGGTATGGGGTTTTTTTTGCCCCGGGGGGGGGGGGGAGTGGGGTTTATTGGTTCAGTCACTCAGCTGTACATGCAAGTAGGTGGAGAAAGTATGTCTAGTCAGGAAATGATATGCAGAGAAAAGAATAATACGGCAATAATAGAAGGAAAGATGACATTCAGAACTTGGATAAGAGATGCTTAAGTTCAATAATGTGGGATGGATGGAGAACTAGAATATAAGAAGAAACATAGGCAGAAGAAGTAAGCGGCCTTTTTTCGCCACGTTAACAACTCGAAAAATATCTTTCCATGCAACCTTGGCTGCCTGGAAGACTATTGGAGCAACCAGGAACGCACACTGGAGTTTTAGAGATCAGGTCTTATTTCAACAAATCAAAGTGTACATTAACCATTTCTTTTAAATTCTCCTATGTATACATCTAGCTAAGATTTTATCGGCCAGATTTTTAGATGGTTCTTGAGACAAATTCTACAGCCTTTTAACTCTTGTTTCTTGATTAAATTCGTTTCTACAATTCTCTGGGAGGAGAATTTACAAGAAGACTTTATGATGTACTCATGCATCGGTAGTCCCACTTCTTCATGTGCGAATATGTCCAGCGTAAAACTGATAGGTGTCTTTTAATTTTAGTTCTTGATAAATGCACAAGTTGTTTATCATTACATCTCGAATATGCATTAGTTCTCAGGTATCTGTTCATCATATATATATCATTCAGCATTCTTTCACATAGTATTCTTCATGCATTAGCTGTTATTCTTTCGCAAACGCTTGTTTCCTTGTATCATTTGTCGAGAATAATTACTCTAGCTATTATAAACTTTCCGTGGTTTTTTTCATTAATTACTAACCTGAAGAGGAGGTAGAAAGATCACAGTTTTAGTTTAATGGTTATATTCCTCCGTTACTTGTAACCAGGAGTGCTCAATACCGACTGGTAAACCGTGGAATGAAATAATGGAGAAATGTCACCATTTAAATTGATATATATACGAGAAAAATTTATGGAAAGATAAGTTGTGTAAAGATTTTTAAGATCTGATGCCATGATTTTTTTTCCTTAAAGCATTAATCATATGTATGATATATCTGTTACTGTAATACTACTATTTAAAATGTAATGTCATATGCATTTTTTTTTTGGTCCTAAATAAAATTAATCACATGATATATCTACTTGTTTTCCAAGTTCACTAGGTCGAACTAAAGTTTTGGAATTCAATGCAAAAGAAAGAATGTGTTCGTAACTGCAGAGAGATAAAATATTTGAAAGCAAAAAATGTGAAATACCATTTTTCCAACAATCGTTTTTATATCACGTTTAGAATTGGATGCTATAAGCGTCAAATCAATGCACCGAATGCCAATTTCAACAATATCAGATTAATGCAGCATTAATGGGGGCATCCAGATGCAGTTGGAACAATACAAATGGTGGAGAATATATACATCCTGTCCATGTCCATCTGCGCGAACCTACAGTTTGATTGCCACACAGAGTCAACAACCAACCAACCAACCATTCATTCTTTTGCTATTCACTTGTTTGCTAAATTTCTATGTGACGAAAATAATTGAACCATGATTTACAGAAGCTAATTTAGAGATTCAACAGCAGTTTTCGAAATACAGAGCCTATAACTAGCAATTCTTGCATTCATGCGTATAAATGTAAGCTTTTCCTCCACGACCATGAGCAGTCAGCCGGCTATTAAAGCTGCTATACCTGAAATCTTCCTACCCTGTATGGAGGCAAAAGATGAGATCGATCTACTACTGGATTGATGGACCATCAAGAAGATACAATGTAAAAGTAGGGATGAAATTGTTGAGACCTCCTGGCAACACACAATAAATAAACTGGTATAAGCTGGTTTGGGGAAATGGAGAAGTGCCAGTAAGTAAACAAGGCAAGCTGGGAATTGGCTATATATAGAGTTGGGACTACCTCTGATTTGTTTTAGATGACTAGTAGTATTGTATAGCATAGAGTACTATTGATGTAGTAGAAATTCTACGTTCCATGTACAAGCTCACTATTCTTGTCAATAAAATGTTCAATTTTGCTAAAAAAAAAAAAAAAAAGCTTTTAGCTATAGCTAGAGGACTTTGTGATGGGAATAACAAGATCTCGAGTTTAGAAATTGCTATTCCAATTGTCAAGTTTAATTCAAAAGTCATCCACCTAACTAAGTAGGTAATCAAGCAAGAAGATATCCATGTAAAAATAACACAGTTCATGCAGGAAGTCAGCTGTTTAGAAGTTAAGACGAGGATGGAATACACCGGAAACTTTCAAGGATGGCAATAACGGTTAGAGTGGCATGGCAGTTGGCACTAGGATATATATTCACGAGCAGAATTATTGCTCTGGACAACACGGATCTGTTTTATGTACAATTCAAACGGGTCAGATACAAATTTACTTGTTCGTACTTTTTTTTTTTTTTTTTTTTTATGTTCGTGCTTGTTCCGGACCAACCTTGCAAGAGGACGAGGGAGCGTTGAGTTGACCAAATGCCGCCTGAAGTCTAGCTCGTGTCTCGCACGTTTTCAGAGGTCAATCCTGTCATTTCGAACCAGCAGCTGATCTTCAGCGTTCAGACCAGAGGACCCTGTTTATGCGTTTTCTTCCCATAAACAGTTTGACTTTAAAGTCGTGTAATAAAACCCACCCACAGCTCAGTTGAAAGTTGAAACGGGAAACATGGGTAACTGTAGCGGCTTACCCTCTGACCAATCTGGCCAGTCCACGTCATCATCATCACAACCAACACCGTCGCCGTCCAAGGGCATCACCGTCCTCCCCCCCGACCAACCTCCCCCTCCCCGCCCACTCTCGGGCATCGGCCGTGTCCTTAACCGCCCCATGGAAGACATCAGCTCCACCTACATTTTCGGCCGGGAGCTAGGCCGGGGACAGTTTGGGGTCACCTATCTCGTCACTCACAAGACCACCGGCGAACAGTTCGCGTGTAAGTCAATTGCCAAGAGGAAGCTGTTGAACAAGGACGACGTTGACGACGTCCGCCGCGAGGTTCAGATCATGCATCATCTCACCGGTCACCGGAATATAGTCGAGCTCAAAGGCGCGTTCGAGGATCGGCATAATGTTAACCTAATCATGGAATTGTGCGCCGGTGGCGAGCTGTTTGATAGGATTATTACCAAAGGGCATTATTCGGAGCGTGCTGCGGCGGCGCTGTGCCGGCAGATGGTAACGGTGGTGCATTATTGTCACTCTATGGGAGTTATGCATAGAGACTTGAAGCCTGAGAATTTTTTATTTTTGAGCTCTGATGAGGACTCGCCGTTGAAGGCTACTGATTTCGGCTTGTCAGTCTTCTACAAGCCAGGTAGGTAGTGTACTATTAATGATGTAAAGCTTCTAGTATTTTTTTTCCCCTCTTCTTTTCTGGCCATAATATTGATGTGGTTTTCAGTTTTCTTCAATACAAAAGAGGATTGATTTTGTGTATATTTGTGTGTGCATGCGTTGGTAAAAGTGTAGTTGATAAAAAAAAAAAACGCTTTGAAATTATTTGATTAATTTCGAAGCAATTATGAGCGGAATGCATAATTGGGAATCTTGAAGTGCTTGTTAGTGATGTATTTTTAATTTTATTATTATTTAGAAAGGAGTGGCTTGACATGATCTTTGCTAAAATAGAATGCAGATTATGTATCAATTGGCATTATCTTATATTTTGTTTAGTAAAATAAAAACTTGAGCGAGGAGAGCCTTTTTTTTAATGGTCGTGTTAAATGCATTAAGTTTTTCATCCTATTTGTCCATAGATTGAAGCATTTTCTTTTGCATGTGGAGGTGTGCATGTCTCTGCAGGAAAAGCTTCAGAGAAGTGAAACACTAAATGGCCTTAATAAATCTACTAGGTCTTGGGCCTGCAACATTGCAAAATACTAATGCACCTTGAGAATGTCTAGTGAAACTTATGATACGTCTCTCTGTTAAACAAGATTTTAGCTATGTGGTGAACAGAAATTGTCATCACAGTCTTTTGCGACCGAAATGACCATTAAGAGCAGCAGCTTTGCTAGCATTAACCAATCAATTGATTTGTTAATGAAGAAACTTGTAATCAAAGGAACCTCTTCCCTTGTACATCACTGCCAATAAAATGTTAAAGTGTGCATTCCAAGATTTTTTTTCTTCTTCTTTTGTCATTATCTTACAGACCGGGGGGCAGGTTTCTTGTCATCCTGTGTTGTCTACAAATTCTTATGCATAGTGGTCATTAATGCTTAAACTACACAGAAAATAAAAAACTTACAGAACCTAGACAGTTTTGGATTGCTTTTTCTTCACTTCAAAGCCCTACTGCAGCTTATTAATTTAGCATGTTTACGGGTGTGTACTTATGTTTTTAACTTATAGTTGGCCTTTTGTAGGAGATGCATTCAAAGACCTTGTGGGAAGTGCATACTATGTGGCCCCAGAGGTCTTGCGGAGAAATTATGGAGCTGAAGCTGATATTTGGAGTGCTGGAGTGATACTTTATATTCTACTAAGTGGTGTCCCACCTTTTTGGGGAGGTAAATGATTATTTGAATGGATAAATAATGTGCTGTGGTTCTGTCCATTTTCGTTTATTTTCTTGCTTTTCCTGCATTCTTTAGCCATTTGTAATCTATGTTTCTGTAACATGCCACTCTTTGAGAAGAAAGCAGTGGGTTGGAAACATTCTCCGTTATCTTTGTTGATTCCGCCACTGTCAGTTTAAGTTTTATGACAGACAGCTATAGAATTTTTAACACTATTTAGTTTTGTTGTGTAAATTTTGAGGCCAATAAGCCTTTAAGTACTTTCTTTTATATTGTTAAATGTTAATAGTCCATGGAAAATGAGCATAGTAATGCATCTGCATGGTTAGTGAAATATATTGAAAATGAAAGCCACTGTCTCATCCATTGCTTTTCTTATGTCTTTTATTTTCCAAGTACTGATTTACAACATCTTAATGATCCTTTTGGTTCTCCTATTTGCAGAAAATGAGCAGGGTATTTTTGATGCCATTCTGCGGGGTCATCTTGATTTTTCATCAGAACCTTGGCCATCAATATCTAGTAGTGCGAAGGACCTTGTCAAAAAGATGCTGAGAGCAGATCCTAAAGAAAGGCTTTCTGCAGTTCAAGTTTTAAGTAATCTTCAGCTCTCTTTATCCCTCGTGACATAAAAATTCCCTTGAATGCTCATCCAAGTTTCCACTAAGGCTAGAAACTCTTTGATTCTTGCCATGTTCAGATTTGTTTTAATGGAAATTTACACTTGTATAGCTGCATAGCTAGCTGTTTGTGTGTGTGTGTGTGTGTGCACGCTCGCACATGTTAATTAATATCCTAAATGGGTTTATATTTGCATCATTGTCATACACTGGAGAAAAAAAATAAAATCCTAGTTTTAGTGAAGTTTCATGTGGATAAATTAAAAAAATCCTGTAACAATGGTAAATAAGGACAAAGACCATTTTCATAAACTACTCAAGAAGCTTTCAAAAGATGGATTTCTCATTTGCCTTAGGTTCATCTGGAAACTAATATCAGTATTAAAACTGTTTGCTGACCACAAGAGTTAATGTGTTGCTCTATAGTTTACTTGTCATTTTCTAATTTCCTAAATCAGGTCTTGTTTATGTGTATGCTTTCACTTAATACAAGTTACCTTGAGCTCCATGTGTTTTAGAATCATTGTTTTGGATTCCGGGGTAATTTTTTTCTCTGCCAAAAGGCGGTTACAATGCCACCGTGTCCCCACAAACTAGGAAGGCAAATCAAAATATGGGTGCTCACAAAGTTTTCAGAAAATAGAATTTCTGCAATCTTTGGGCTTCCTACAAACCAACCATTTTTTAGGATCACTTAATTAGATGAAGAGTTAACTGTGAATGTTTGCAGACCATCCATGGATGAGAGAAGACGGTGACGCATCTGATAAGCCTCTCGACATTGCTGTTTTGACTAGGATGAAGCAGTTCCGTGCTATGAACAAGCTCAAGAAAGTAGCCCTCAAGGTGAGGAAATGTTGTACTTACTTTTGGTAAAGGATTCCTTTACAGTTAAGCTTTGTTAAGTTTTTGTTGGTCTTTCCCCATTAGGTAATTGCAGAAAATCTATCAGAAGAAGAAATTATTGGTTTGAAGGAGATGTTCAAATCCATGGATACAGATAATAGTGGGACAATTACTTTTGAAGAGTTGAAGGCTGGCCTTCCAAAGCTTGGCACCAAGCTTTCTGAGTCCGAAGTGAGGCAGCTCATGGAAGCAGTGCGTAAAAATTTATCTGTTTAGTTTTTCTCACTTGTTTTGGCTTCAGAAAGTCTCAGCCTCCTTTTATGAACCTTTCTACAGATTATAGAATTCTGTTAAGGGTGTCCAAGTCAGAAGCTCCAAAAGAATGTTAAGCATGTTGCGAACCTTACTTTCTAAGCTGCTTTGCTGTCTTCCTGAGAGCTGAAGCAAATTAGTACTATAGCTCATCTACTTTTTTCCTCGCATACTTTGATAACCAAATCCCCTTGTTTCCTGATGCAATCTTTTGTGTTCATAATTTTCCCCCCTTTCTAAACGGTTTATGGAGTAGAACAACTCATTTTATGCATAAGTACCTGAATGAAATTCTCTTGATGCTCAAGACTACCTTGAGACTGTTGTGGTCTTAAATTGTTGGCTTGGAAGAAATATGCAATTTTATCTTTATTTTATAACATATTGCATTTATCAACTGTGCCCTTTTTCAGTGCATGGAGTGAAATGCAATTTCATACTAGTATACTGTAATTCAAATACAAAGATTTTCTTGATCTTTTTAGGTGCATGGATTGAAATGCCAACACATCAATATGTATCTCTTTAAAGATAGGTCTTTCTTATGCTGTTTTTCTTCTTCTGATTAGTCATCTTATGAAGATCTATAATCTGTATTCATTTATTTGTACTTAGAGAGAACAATAGTCCATAGGTTGGTATGTGGTGGTTTCTGTAATGCCTTGGCATTACAGTCATTAATTGCTAATAAGCTGTTTCACTGTCCCAGGCTGATGTGGATGGAAATGGAACAATTGATTACATTGAGTTCATAACTGCCACGATGCACATGAACCGAGTAGAAAGAGAAGACCACCTGTACAGAGCCTTTGAATATTTTGACAAAGATAAGAGCGGGTAGATCCCGATCAAAAAATGCCTGTCCAAATTTTGTTCCATATATTTTCTGGTTTGTAATCTTTCTTCGAATTTTAGGTACATCACGATGGAAGAATTGGAGCATGCCCTAAAAGAGTATAATATGGGTGATGAGAAAACAATAAAGGAGATCATTGCAGAGGTTGACACAGATCATGTATGTACCTTTCTCCACTAAATAGGTTGTAAGATACAGAATGATGCCTATTTCCAATCAATGAACAATATATCTATTACAATCTGGAAAAAGCTCTGCGTTGGGTCCCTTAGTCCCAGGTGCTGAACAGGGAAATTATGAGGAAGACAGGCAAAATTTAGGTGTTCCTGTCTTATTTGTATAATGTTCTTGGCCTATGCATGATATGTTATGTTATTCATTCGCAGGATGGAAGAATTAACTATGATGAGTTCGTTGCCATGATGAGGAAAGGCCAGCCAGAGATGCCCCAAAATAGACGTCGGAAATAAGCCTAAAGAAGGATTTTTCATGCCTTTCCATTCCTTTAAGAGGTTGGGCTCAACGGTTAATGATGTAAATGATTAAGACCTCGTGTTGCGAAATATGTTGCTCCTGATTTTTCTTAGTACGTGGATGTGGGAAGAACTTGATTTCCAGGATTGGATGGCCTGTAGGCTGTTGCATGTCAACTGAGGCATTGAGCTTTGCCATCACGTGCTGTGCATATTTTTGATTGTTGAGGTGGCTAGCAGACTCATCAGGCCAAGTACTAGAGATATACAACAGGATACGGATATCGATGATATCGTGCATGTTTTTGGATTATGGTCGACCAGAGAACAATTTTTGGGGTCAGTCTGATCTGAGCTCTTTTTCCTGAAGTCTGTGTGGCAACAAGCTACACAATCTTTTCTTTTGGTATACGATCCAATTGGTGTTTGAACTACAAACTATCTCCTGTTGCTTGCATCTTCCTCCTTCCTTTTAGCAGCCAATTGGAAACTGGCGTGCTCTTGACGGCGGTCTAAACCCAGAAACCGTTTAAAAAAAAAAAGAACAAATGTTCCGGCTGCCACAATTGTAACTCTTAATTTACCAAAAAACGTAGATAAATGGACGCCTTGAGACAAATTTCCCTGTTTTTGGAGTCGTTTTATGTATTATATTTACCTGTGATTATCACCATCTTCATTGAATGGGAAAGCATATTTGTCGAGTGGGAATCAAAATTGTCTCCAACAATCCAACATTATTAAGTATGGTTGATCGTTAATCAGCAGTACCCAGAGGATTTTCCTTGTTTTGTAGAAAAGCCATTACAAGAATTTCATCAAGAAAAAACAAAACATTAGAATCATGGTACGGATAAGATCTGGGATAAGTTTTTCTCAAACTTGAGCTCAAGGGACAACCAAAATAAGGGTAGACCATTCACAAAGGTTTTTTTTTTTTTTTTTTTTTTTTGGCCAAACTCTTATACGACACTCGAATATTGTTGAAAAGCAGAAATAATAAGGTTACAGTCAATGGCTTCATGGATAAAGTATTGTTATTATGGTCGGATGCCTTCAGGTTAGGTGCTGGCTAGAAATGGCCGGAAAGTACCTATGTGCTCTCGCGCTTTGTTAATTTGTCTAAGAACCCAGGGGAAGAGATAAAAATGGATTAAGGTTTAGGATAAGAAGCTTTGCTTTAGAATATGCAAACAAATTACCTGCTGAATTTAAAGTCCAGCCGCGTCTCCTCCATGGAATTTGGAGCACCTAACAACAAATTTTCAAGCTAGAAGCCTATATAATTTTTAACTCAATCTCCTGACCAGGCAGGCTTGAGTAGGGAGGGGAAGGTAAAAAAAAAAAAAAAAAGTAACTAAAAACAAAAAATAAAAAAGAGTAGAATAATTAATTGTTTGGCATAATTAATGTCCCAAGTCAGATGTATATCATGCAACTATAACTCTACTGTAATCATTAACCAATTGTTTGACAAATGAAAAGATTTGCAAAAGATCTCAAAGCCACTGTTTGCATCTTCTCAGACTTATTATTGTTACAATTGGTAGGCTTATTATTGTTACAAATAATTAGAGGTGTCAAAATGGGTGACTTGGGCGGGTTTGGGTTGGGTAAAATGGATAATGGGTATAAATGGGTTGACCCATTTATACCCATTTAATTAGATGGGTATAAATGGGTAAGTCAAAAAATGAATTGGGTAACCCAATTACCCATTTATAACTCATTTATTTTAATTTTTTGTAAATTTATTTAAATTCATTTTTGCAAACTAAGTTAACAATTTATACCGCTCTTTGTACCCATCATTAGTTTTAAATATTTACTTATAATGTTCAATAAGCTTAATTACCAAATTTTTTTCATTTATACTCTATTTCACAAAATTACATATTATTTAATAATTGAATAATAAAAATATAAAAATTTGAACTAAGTACTATAAAAGTTAATATAAAAATTTAATCCAAAAATTTTTAACCCCTAACATTTTTTCCATATATAAATTTAAAATTTCATTTTAGAAAGATAAGAAAAGAGGCTCAAATTTATCATAAATTGGTAATGCCAAAAAATGAGCAAGTTAACAAACTAAGAGAAAACAAAATAATAAAATAAAACCAACAAATAATAATAATAATGAAACAAAAGTAGTTAATATTATGACAAAATGAAAAATCTGAAAAAAAAAGTGGGTGGAGAAAAGAAGAGATTTAGGGAAAGAGAATTTTAAATGGGTTAATTGGGTTTGATGGGTTACCCAATAATACCCATTTAATAAATGGGTATTATTGGATAACCCATTTATATCCATATACAAAAATTTAAGATACCCATACCCATCTATTCATGGGCGGGTATGGATAAATTTATTTAAGTGGGTTGATTTGCCACCTCTACAAATAATTGACGTATGAATGACTAGTAGACTTAATTATTGCACACCTTGTATATGAATAATCCAGCACAATTCGATGCGTTTATTCTTTCCCACAGATTTTGAGTTCTGTTCTTGGAGATCTTTCAATATTCACCTGCAGCTTGTTGGAGCGGCCTTGAATCATTAATTCTTCACCTCCACTTTATTCGATGCGTTTATTCTCTCCCACAGATTCTGAGTTCTGTTCTTGGAGATCTTACAATATTCACCTGCAGTTTGCTGGAGACGGCTTGCATCATTAATTCTTCATGCAGAGTATCGACTCGCTCATCTCTGTACCAACCGCCTCCAGTTTCTAAATGATAATCATCACAATAGAACCTATAGGGTGAGCGGATCCACAGTCGTTCAAGTGCTGGAGCATTTTTTACCAAATAAGTAGCAAAATGAATTTCATTTACTGTCCCGTGAAATCCATTAAATTCCACTTCTTTTAATTGACCAAGGCGTCTGGGAGGCCATTCTCTTCCTCTTTCTTCATTGAAACCTCGACAAAGTAACTAAAGCCAAAATAAATCAGTCAGGTTCTTAGCTAAATGCATCGATAGAACATGTGATGCCCAACCTTCTAAAATGAGAAACCAAAATGAGGAGAGTGAAGAGTACATCATAATAAGTTCAGAGAAAGATGTACACTAATAATCATTTGTTTTTATTTTATCAGGTCACTGAAGATGCACAAAGAAGCAAAACCAAGTATTTTAGTCACAATAACAAGCAATGATTTTCATAGCACGCTTTCACTTCTTTCAATTTGCCAAAATCATTCAATTAATATCTGCTTAAATTATAACCTTCAAACATGAATTAAGATTGGAGAAGAGAATTTGGTTGAGTGAAAAGTCATGGACATCAAAAGAAAGGTCACCTTGGGCAAAGTTCCTACACATACTGTGGCATGAACAAGAAGTAGAAAGGAGAGAGACAAACAAAAAACCAGGAGAACAAAGTTTGACGGCCAGTTAAGTTGTTTCTCCATGCCAATGGACTGTGGCATCAACAAAGAAGGGTGAAAAACAAAAGACCACCAAGTGATAAATTGGTATTCTTTCACTTTAAAAATCTTCCCACAGATTGCAACAGTAGAGTCGTGATTTAAGCAGCATTGTCTCTTCAAAGTGACACCATTGGAAGTCACACCTCTGACTTGCATCTTTAAAAGCAGCGTGACAAAAAGTGGAAAACACATGCTGTGAGAACGTTAGAAGAACAATGTTATTTCCCAAAGTTTACTCTGAAATAATGTTGAGATATGCCAACTTTTCTTACAGATTTTATCAGATTAAGTTTGATATCAAAATAATTTAGTTATTAGAGAAATAAAGATATTTGTTAACCAAAGATCATGTTGGGTTGTTAACAAATATTTTAGCTAAGATTTGCTAGTAGAAGAAGATTATATTTTGTTGAGATTTTTAGGATAATCATTAGTTGAATATTTGGTTAGTTTGTTCCATGTAATCACTATAAATAGTGAGTTAGAAGAACAATGTTATTTCCCAAAGTTTACTCTGAAATAATGTTGAGATATGCCAACTTTTCTTACAGATTTTATCAGATTAAGTTTGATATCAAAATAATTTAGTTATTAGAGAAATAAAGATATTTGTTAACCAAAGATCATGTTGGGTTGTTAACAAATATTTTAGCTAAGATTTGCTAGTAGAAGAAGATTATATTTTGTTGAGATTTTTAGGATAATCATTAGTTGAATATTTGGTTAGTTTGTTCCATGTAATCACTATAAATAGTGAGTTAATGAATGACTAACATAAGCTCATTTTTCCATATTTAATACAAGTCTCTTATAAGTTTTTTTTTTGCAACACTAAGGTGTTGTTTCTTAGTTTATGCCCCCAAAAAACCAACAAAGTGGTATCAAAAGCCTAAATCTTAAGGGCCTGTTTTTTTGAGAGTTAGTGAATCTGGTGAGAATCCCTGTTTCACACTTAAGACTTTAACATCAAAATGCCAGGAAACAACTTCTTGTCCAATCCTCCAAATTTCACTAGTGAAAACTACCAAATCTGGGCTGTCAAAATGAAGTCCTATTTGATGGCTAATGATCTTTGGGATACGGTAGAAACAGATCATGTTCCTGAATTGTCGGAAGATCCAACTATTGCAGAGATGAGAGCCCATAGGGATGCAGTCAAAATGAGATCAAAAGCAATGTTTTTAAACTCGGACCGGTCAGTGAACCGGAGAGGTGGCCGGTTCGCGGTCCGACTGGTCCAACCGGCCAGTTCAAAGGTTCACTGTTTTTTTTTTTTTTTTTAACTAAGCAGGTTTCATTCTAAACTCGAACTTTACCAACATAACTTAATTTAAGTTATGATAATAATAAATTTTCTAAAAGTTATACACAAAACATGGAATGATAAATATAATTAAAATATCATAATTCACCACAAGTTTTCATAAATTCATTATAAACATAAATAGATACAATCCAAATGTTCACCAATTATCACAAATAAAAACACAAAAAGTAAATAAATTAAATATTGAAATTCTTTTACAACCCTTAAAAAAATCCATAAAAGAATTCAAGTTAAGACAAACTATTTGAATAGCAAACTTTTATCAGTGGCATGATAAGCAACCACACCACCTTCACAATTTCATCAACTTAAGCTGAAAAAGTTAAAATTTTATTATAAAAATATAAATCTAATTGCTCAAACTAAAAAAAACTAAATTTTTGAAAAACAAATATACAGTTAAACACATAAAAAATTAATTGCTACTAAACATTACTAATTAACATGTTATATTAAATTCAATGATCCTATACCATTAATTATTTTAAATTCAATTATCAATAGCTTCGATTATGTGCCAACTACCATATTTTTGACCAGCCCAATGTTATTATTTGTAATTCCTACCCAATTCCTACACGGATGTGCACTACTTTTGCAAAAATTTCATCCTTAATTAATCGAATAAAAATAAAACAAAAATGAGGGAAACGTATGAAAATTGAGGGGAAAAAGAAGAAAATGCAAAAAATCAACTAAAGATAATAATATAGAAAAAAAACCTTGAAAAGAAAAAAATTAAACTTACTAAAATGTTGGAAAACAAGAAAAGTTGAAATTTTCAACTTGTTTACAATTTGTTAAAGATAATAACCTGATAATAATGGTGAAGACTTGAGAAAATCTTGTTGTGGATATTTTGGTTAAAAATGGTTAAGAAGAAAAAATAGAAAAAAAAAATAAGAGAAGAACTTGATGTTTTAATATATTTTTTAGTCAAGTAAAATTTTCAACAAACTTAACTACAGTCTAGCTGTAAGATTGTCATATTTAAACTTGGAGACCCAGGTCGAACTGGCCGATCCGGTCCGGTTCTGAAAACATTGATCAAAAGCCATAACATGCATTCATTCAGCAGTTTCCGATGTAGTATTTACAAAAATTATGACTTGTCAAACTGCAAAGGAAGCTTGGGATGCTCTCAAAGTGGCTTTTCAAGGCAATGACAGAACAAGACAGATCCAAGTTTTGAACCTTAGAAGAGAATTTGAACTCCTTAGGATGAAAGACAAAGAAAACATTAAAGAGTATTCTGACAGACTCTTAAATGTTGTGAACAAAATCAGATTGATTGGAGAACAACTTCCGGATAGCAGAGTTGTGGAGAAAGTCTTGGTGAGTTTACCAGAAAGGTTTGAAGCCAAGATTTCCTTTCTTGAAGATTCAAGGGATCTCTCTCGAATGACCTTGCTAGAATTGATCAATGCTTTAGAGGCACAAGAACAAAGACGAGCCATAAGAACAGAAGAAGTCATTGAAGGTGTTTTTCAAGCAATAAACAAGGATCAACTTCGACAAGGTGAAAGAAATGATCGAGAAAAAAATAGCAAAGATGAGAAGAAAAATGGCAGAAATCCTCCGTGTCCAAATTGTAAGAAAACCTCACATCTTTCAATATATTGTTGGTTTAGACCTGATATTCAATGTAGGCTTTGTAAGCAAATGAGACATATGGAGAGAGTTTGCAAAAATAAAGGAAAAAGAGAACATCACGCTCAGATGGTTGATGAACAAGATGAGGAGCAACTTTTCGCGGCCACTTGTTTTGCAAGCAATAATTCCAGTACTGAAACTTGGCTAATAGACAGTGGCTGCACTCACCCCACCCCCTACCCCCCCCCCCCTAAAAAACAAAAAAAATCTCACAAAGAAGGGGAGAAAATGGGAAAAATTAATAGATTTAGTAACTAACCTGCAGACGAAATTCTTCTAAATGTGGACAAGCCTCCAAAATAGGCACAACATTCAGTAGATCAGGTGGAGACCTCATTCCTGGGACAAAATATAATGTCCTAAGATTGCTGAACATATCCATCTTTCCAGGTGTATATTGTAGCTGAATCAAGAGAAACAAAAAGCATGAAAACCACTGGCAAGAATTGGACACAAAAAATGATGATTGACATAGTCAATACAAACCTTGTCACTGTGTGTTTGGAATAATAAGTTTTTTAACTTAGGACAGTCCTTCAGAACTTCTCCAAAAAAATAAGGTATGGAACCATTGCCAGTGAAGGTGATGCGTGCATCTTCTAGTTTGGGAACACAGAGCGAAAACTTTATCGGGCCATTGTGAAAGAAAGAAAAAGTAATCAGGTTGCCAGCACAGATATCAATCTCCTCCAAACCAGGACAGGAATGAACATACAGAAACTTCAATTGGAGACACGGACCAGAGATAGAAAGCTTAGGAGTAAGTTTACAAAATCCGAGTCTAAGAGTCTGAAGGTTAACACAAGAAGACAACATTCTCGGTAATTCTCCATCACTCAGGTGAACCAAGTCTAAATAAAGGCCCTCAAGGGAATTAAATTGGGTAGGGAAACTTGGTTGCAAAGAACAAGCCAATAAGCGCAAATGTTTCATTGTAGCTACTGCAGTAAGAAGCCGAAATGAGACAGGGAAAAGCTCACCCATGTTGGATTTTGCACATTGACAAAGAGGCAAAGAAGAACAGATAAATTTGAGGTCAAGTTCCTGAACATCTAAAGTAGCTACAACCTGCATCCATTGAGTGAATTTGGGCTCAAATTCTTTCATGAAACAGCATGAAATTCTCAAATAAGTTATGCTTTGACCTGAATAAAGCTGTAAAGACTGATCTACAGCTTCCAAAAACCTAAACTGTACCCAATGGCTACCCATATCGTGAGAGCAATTAGGCCTAAACATGTCAAGGCAATCTAGGTGGAGTTCAGACCTAACTTTGCAAACATTTTTCCACCTTCTTGACAAAATTCTTGTCCCAACAGCCTCTATCAAGTCCAAACGTGAAAGGACATCTGACAGCAAATCATCTGGCAGTCGACTGATACTATCCTCATTCGCAAGACCATCATCAGCCTGATTCAAAATTCCAAGCAGAACACAATGTACATGTTAGGAAAAAGAATCTATCAATACATCATACCCACTAGATAAACTAGCAAACATTATAATAACAAACTTTTTCTGATAAACAACTTATCCTTTCCAAAAATACACTTTCAAATTGCTTAACATAATAGAGCAACAATTGCTTCTTTTCCAGAGGAAAACAATAAGATTTAGCAGATATGATTACAAATGCATTACTATGGGGCTGTTTCGCTTGCTTTACATTTAACAAAAAGGTGTTTAATCAGAATTAGCAAAAGATACTCTTGGAAAGATTCAGGATTTCAGTTCTCAGTTCATTTGCCAATTACAAATAATCTAAAATGTAGACACAAAAGCAAACAAGAACATCAAAAGAACCGATGCTGGAAAATTAGAATCTAAAATCAGTTGAAAAGTCAAATGAGAACACCCCCCATTAACATAACAAGAGTGCCCTGCCACTTTTTCCAATGCTAATGTTTGATTACGTCTTTACCCACTGGAAATCTTCTTCCTTTCATTATTATTACAGAAAATATATCTCAATGTTCACAGAAAAGACACCCAGATTCAACTTGAATAGTTACAGTCTACTCAAGAGTTAAACCAAACTGTAATCAAGTTAAAACTAAAGACATAGATTAAACACAAGTCACCAGGTTTTTCATCAGAATCTTAAAACTGTTATTACAGTCTAAGAAAGAGCAATTGAAAAAGTTTATCCTAACTAATAATGGTAGGTCACTTGGTTTTTTTGACAACTCATACTTACCTGACCATTTTATTGAGTCAAACTAAAACTCAATTTTCACAAAACTTCTCAATAAGCTCAATAAATTGGTCCCTACCAACCAAGTCTCTTTCAGTTTTTGAATGTATGTCCTATTATTACAGAATAGATTTTCTCTTCCATAATATGATTCCTTAAGCAGCGCCATACTATAACTGTCCAAACAGCAGAACAAGCAAACATCTTTCTTGAGGAAGCAAGACCTATCAATATTTGCCAACTCGTCTTTGTCTGACGACTGCCTCAATTGAAAACTTGGGTCGGCTCATTTTCATAGGTGAGGTTTGCCCATTGGACTTAATATCCATTTGCGCTCTAAACACCATATCTGTTTTCTTTTTTCTCTTTGTACAAACAATAAAGAGGCTACTTCTAATGTAACGAATAAAACTAACATATATTGTGGCAAAGTGAGCTTCGACCATCATTGTGCTAATAATTTTTTCTTACAACTGTTTATTCTAGACTTGGATATATACTAATATTCCCAATGTCTCAAGTTGAGTCATGGGAATGGCTTGTGAAACTTGGATACTTGGAAACAATGGGGTGATAGGAAAATTAGATAATCAATAGCAAGTAAACAGGTGGAATTGTGTTCATGTTTATTAATCAAAGTCTTCCATTCATTTTTAAAAAATGGGTTTCCTTAGAAAAGTATGAATATTATGTAGCTATTAGTTGTCATATGCTTCTTATTATATTTCGTGATCAAACAATGCATAGCATATTGCTACCAGAGTAAAACAAATAACTGAGCATAAGTACCTTATGAACAAAATCTTGCTCGTGCTTTTCTTGCAAAACAATTGCTTTCCCCTGTCCACCAAAAGATTTAATTGCTTTCTGAATGGCCGCCCCAGTTGCCGCCACGAGGATTGCAAAAGGCAAAGCTCTGTTTCCAAACCAGCACATTGTTGTTTGTTCCTGAAACAATAACGAAAAAGAACTTCTTACATATTGCCAGAATACTTCTATAGTACCTCTGCGGCCAACGGGATGCAATTTTCACATTTAATTTACAAGCTCAAATCCAAAAAAAAAGAATAAAATAAACTAACAAAAATTTGATTTTCACTTGTTAATAGCAGTACTTATTAACAACTACTCCAAACCCAAAAAAGAGAGAACGAAAGGAACTGCCTTTGCAATAACAATTACTTCATTTTGCTGTCTCCAACAGCAAAAACTAACAAAGATGCAATCTTTTGAACCAAAATAAAACTAACAAAGATACAACTTTTGCAAGATAATTTATTTCATTTTGCTGTCTCCAACAGAAAAACTAATAAAGATGCAATCTTTACATGTTAATTGGCATCATGGCTAAGATTAAGCAGCCCTGATAAGGGGAAAGAGGATAAAAGTATACAGGAAACAGCAAAGATATGAATTTTACTTGTTAATAGGCAATACGGGATAACATAAAGCATCCCCTACCAGAAAGAAGATAAAACGAGAGAAAAGTACTTTAATTTCCCTGACCTCCAACACCAATACCAACGAAAAGATGCAATTTTGACATGCAATTTGGCATGACAGATTAACTTTAACCAGCCCGACCGCCTATTCCAAAAAAAAATTTTTTTGAACAAAATCAAAGATTTTACTCTTATAATACATCTCAGAACAAAGTATCCAAAGAAAAAGTCAGAAGTCAGTTAATATTTATAATTCACTGCAGTTGAACACGATGAGAAAGACTTGCCACCCAAATTACGCAATTGAGGAGACTTGCCACCCAGATTGCAGAGATTCACAAAGCAGAAAACCACCAAACGGTCCAAACCGACTCAGTGAAGATGCACATTAGCTTACGTGGAAGCTGCTCAACCCTACATATTAAAAGCACCGAACGCTGAGGAACAGTAGAAGTGTCGTGCCCTCGGTGTTCGAGTGCTGAATTGTGATTTCCAGCCAAGCCTGGGGGCAATTTGGGTTTCATTGGTTCTCTGTTGTAGGTTTTGTTTCCTTAGTGGTTCCCTTTGTCTTTGTGCATGTCAGTGGGGCCATTCCTAATGCCCCTCTCAGGTCAGTTTATTACGGCTTAGCCTAGGATGGATGTTAGCCAAAAGACGATAATAGCCCTACCAACAACAATTTATTCCAGTTTTACAGCATTATTTTTTTAAGGTGTTTTATAAAATATTTTATTGTAATAGTGTATACGGAAGAATTTTTCACTATAAATGTTTTTTGTGAAATTTTGAGAGGTATTTTTGAGATACGTTTTTGGATTTTTTAAAATTTAAAACTTTTTATACTATTTTTTAGCCTACTATCGCCATTATTTCATCCCTCTCTTTTCTCTTCCTTATCCTTCTCTTTTCTTCTCTCATTTTTCTTCTTCCTTTCTTTCCTCCCCTCGTCCCTGCCTCCCTTCCCCTTCCCTTCCCTTTTCCAGCCACGTCTCACCCCTCTCTTTTCCTCCCTCCTCGATCTAGTCGAGACCAAATCAAGGCCTTTGGTCATGACATCATGGCCAGATCATAGGAAGGGCCCTCCTTTCTTCCGCCACGTCTCGCCTCTCCCCTTTCCCCCCTCTCCAATCTAGTTGAGGCCAAATTAAAACCTTGGGCCACGACATCGTGTCCAGATTATAATGTCACGGGTTACTAAATATGCTATAAGCAAACACATTGTATGGCATTAACGATCGTCCAAGACTTAAATTTTGAATGGTTACTAGTTTAGTCTAATTTCTAAGTGTGCAGAATTGATGCAGAAGCTTAAACATAAAGAGTAAGAAGAATAAGGATGAAGGCTAGAAGGAAAACTCTATATTATTTGAGACTCCAAAAGTTTCCAAAAGTTGCCAATAGCTAGTTTACAAATGAGAGAGTTTGACCTATTTATGAATTCTTTACATGACTCTAAAAATTCTACCAACTAAACTACCCAATTTGTTTATTTAGATTGTTCTCTTATTTTATGCTACATAAGTGAGAACTTGTAGAAAGTTCCGCACCTTACCAATTCTAAACCCCTTATGTACAAAACTCTTGAACAATCTAGAGTGTTTCGGAAGTCTCTAAATTTTGCTACACATTCCCTATAATGTTTGGAGAAACTTCCATGTTTTGGCCAGAGCTTCATGGCTAACCACTTGTTTAGGAGATTAGGTTATGGATTTACTACTAGTCCTAGTCTTTTGCATGGACACTATGTACAGTGGGCATGACTTGGATGGCCAAGTCTGGTCACGAGTGGGGATAGACACGATCGCGTGCGAATTGGGTGCAATTCTTATCATCCTCCCCCACTTGAACAAAACATCGGCCCTGATGCATTTGGTGCTCCCAATAGTCGTCGAAATTTGTCCTGAATCATGTACATCTTAACATCCTCCTCTTGTTTCGGTCAGAAGAAGTGATGTTGTATTACATTCAGTGCATACTTAGGTCCTGTTTCCTCAACACAATATTCCCGTATGATGTCCTCGCGCACATTGTCACAATTTTGCTTGTACACGGCATGCTCACTATGAAGGACCCCTTTTTTGTCAAGCCAATATTTGGTGGTCTTGCCTCTGGCCGCTAATATCTTCAATGCTTAGATTTGTGGATCAATTTCATATCTCTTTTATATGTGACCCTTCAATGCTACGGTGCCCTATGCACCGTCTCTCTGTTCGATTGGCTTGTGTGTTGCAGCCCCTTCCTCAAGCTTGTCCTCACATATTTTCCGACCCTTCACACCTTCCCCCTTGAGTTATTGCAGGCTCACCTCGTTCTCACGGGAAACATTCACAACACAATGTGCCCTTTCTTGCGTAATTAGCATAGTGTTTTCGTGTGGCACCATGATTAGTTTAAGGTTGTCTATGAATTTCATTCCAAAAACTACCGTATAATCGTCCATTAAAATGATGGTGAAGGTTGTCATCCCAATCCATTGTCCCAATTTGACGGGTACATTAGTTGCTATCCCGTCTAATGACACCCACTTTTCATTGCTGTCTTTGAACTGATCTTTGCATGGCTCCCATATTAGACCCAATGATCATGCGGTATTGTCACTCGTATAGTTGACATCTGTACCCATATCAATCAAGACCTATACCTTGCATCTGTTGATTCTGGTGTCCACATACATTTGGTCTCACCTTTGGTCATCCACCATTGCTTCAACCGCGCTAAGCATCATACACTTGAGTTTTCGCCATTCCTCCTCGTACTAGCATTCTTGAATGATAGCATGTAGCAACTTTCTATCTGGAAATCCCTTGAAAAATCTAATGGGTCTTGACATGTATAGCAGTCGAAATTCTTGATCTTGCCCTTGTTGCCTTGAGCCCATTTAGTTTCATCTGTGGCGGAAGGAGTTTTCAACCATTCATGTGATTTCGCAAGATTCGAGTGACAATCTCCCCGACTTGAGCCTTGGTCGGATCTCTTTCTTTTGTCCCTTCTATCATCCCTTCATAGGATCTTATATAACTTGGATACAACCGTTGTTTCAGCTAAATCTTTTACGTGCCGGCTTTGGAGTTGAAATTTGATCCATGATCGCAATTTGTCCATAAACGTGAAGAATACGTCCTTTGGTGACATATTTGGTATCTCTAGCAAGAGTTTAGAGAACTCCTTCACATACTCGTGGACATGTTCGTTCCTATGTTGTAAATGATGAAACTTGGCACGAGTTTCATCTTCCATGTCTGCTAGTTAGAATTGCTTCTTCTGCTCGTTCTTGAACGCGTCCCAAATAGTGACGACGTCAGACCCTTTCCTTATATCATTACACCTTCTTCATCACCATATTAAAATTGAATCCTTCAAATATAATGGGGTTGTTTGCAGCTTGCCTACTTCCTCCATGATGCCAAGTGTGTCAAAATATCATTCCAACTCGTACAAAAAAATTTTTGTATCACATCCCATCCTTGCTCCACTATAAGTATCGAGTATGTGGCACCTCGACCCTAAGTGTAGATACGGTGGCTCCCATTGTTCTTTGTATGTTTAATTTGTCTAGTTCCAAGCGAAACCTTTGCAACTCCTCTCGAATGTACGAAGGCTCCGTGATCGTTGCATTTGCTAGCCAACTGTGCTCTAGATACATCAAGCTCCATATTGGGATTGGCAAGCTCCTCTTGGAAAGACAACATATTAAGTCTAATCATCTCGTTCCCTTTGAGAAGTCTACCAACAGTCTTATTTAGCACGACTTACATGTTCCCACATAACTCTTCCACCTCAGATTGCGCTATGCATTCATTGAACTCAGCCCAACAGTCTTGGTGATTAGTAATGGTTAGCTCTATCGTAGTTAGCCTCTAGTCAAAAGCGGCCAGCGACTCTTAAATGGCGAACTTGTCCTGACGGCCCTTGCTTCGAGTAACCCTCTCTGGTTCTCGCAAGACATGCTTATTCTCAACCTCTCATTGTATGCTAGCATCTGATATAATGGCTATTCACTTGTCACCTAAACCCACGGTATCAGAACAGTTCCGATAACAACTGTCATGGGCTGTTTAATGTTCTATAAATAAATGAAACATGCAACACTAGAGATTATGAAAGCCTGAAATTCGTTGTGCATTTTATGTTTTTATTTAAAATTGAAGGTGTTGCAATTTAGTTGTTATTATATAGTTTATGTGTTTACTTGTTTCTTGTGATTAAATAATTTGAATATACGCTATATTAGTATTGGATCAACTTTTATAGGAATTAACGCTAGATTAAGAAACTAGTGGGGACATAACATGATAATCTAGAAGTAAGGGATAATTGTTAGAGTAACTTTTGACAACTTACATGTGTTTGGCATGTAGAGATGACAATTTTGCTAAGTGTTGGTAATCAACCACAAGACATAAACCTCTTTAGTGAAAGCTTTCTTTTGTCTTTCTCCATTGTTTAGCCGAGAGAAATAAGCAAAGTTGAGAGAAAAATTAAAGTTTTTCTTCCTTGTTTCAGCCGAGAGACTAGAGGGAAAGGTGCAAGATTTTTCCTTGTCTTGCTCCAACCTTCTAGCCAATAGTGAGAGAGAGAGAGAGAGAGAGAAAGCTTGAAATCCTTGCCCTTTCTTCCTTGTCTTGCAGCCAAGAGAACCCTTGCCTCCTTCTATTTTCCCCCAACAAATCAAGAAGAGAAAAGCTCCAATATTCCAAGTTTATTCCAGCCAAGAAATTGAGTGGTGAGTGAGAAGTTTTGTTCCTTTTCTGAGTCTTGAAACTGAGGAAGAAACTAGGAAAGTTTGAGGGATTTCAACCATGACCAATTCACAACCAAGGGGAAAGAGCTTGAGAAAGATTGGAGAAAATTTGCTCCATCCCTCTTGTTGCAGCCGAGAGAGAAAAGAAAAAAGTGGAAAGCTGTCAGTCTTGATTCTTCAATTTTCAGCTTCAATTTCTTGGGAAAAAAAAGGTAAAAAAGTGCTGTAAATCTTTCCTTCTTCCATGCCTTTTTAAGCTTTAAGGATGTAAGTTAGATTTGAGCAGAAAAGAGAAAGTTTTGGTGAAGAAAAGTTTCAATTTTCTTGCTGAAAATTTTGCTTAGCTGATGACAGAGTTATTGTGGTAGTTGATGACAAATTTTGTGAAGTTTTTTTGGTAAAATGCTTAGCCGAAAAAAATATGTAATAGAACTAGATTATTGCTAATTCCTTCATTTTATGTTGGATAAATGATATGCTGTGTATTTGGTATTGTCAAACAAGTGGAAGGTTGAAATTTAGGGTGACAATCATCCCCGGGTAGGTTTAGTAAAATGATCATTACTTAGTGTACAAAAATCGAAATTGAATGCCGTTAATTGCATTTGAAACTAGACTCAAAGTATAAAATTTGAGCTTCATTTTATAAACACACCAAAAATTGGCAATATTAACTGAAAATTCTGTCTTGCACAAGTAAAAACTAGAATGTTGTAATAACTTGCGACTCAATTTGGACCAATTTATGAACTGAATCTATTTGAGGTATCTTCTAAAGATTGTTAGTACTTCAAGTCTAGTTTTTAAGGGGGTAATTTTTATAATTTATTGGCATTTATAATTCGAGTTATGATTTTTCAAAGAAATGATGCTTATTGGAAATTTTGTTTTGTTGGAACCGTGGGGAAGAAGCTGTGATTTTTTCAACTTTATCCCTAAAATTTTAGTTGTAAATTGACACATCTTGACTCTATATACCTGCTAACACCTAAATCTAGTCATGTATGTGATATTTGAGGAGTTAAAAGCATGAAAAGATTGACTTTTAAAGCATTTTCAAAGCCGAAATTTCTAGACAGCAAATCAAGAAGGAAAGCTACGAGTTTCAGTTCTTGTTTTTCAAAAATTTTGTTAAATTCTATCTAAAAGCACTTTACATACCTATTATCTCTTTTATCTTGACATGCATGTAGTGTTTTGCTTGAATCCAAATGAGATAAGTGCCGATTTTTGGAGGAACCTTGCTGAAACTTTTGTTTATGTTGATATTTGAGAATCGATGGAGTAAAGTTGAGAATTTTGTTTTAAAACAGAAATTTCTTGAAAAGTTTTGCTGGACTTTGAAGCTGCATGCCCTCATTTCAGTGTTTACGTGATTGTATGATGGATCTTGTTTGATAATTTGGAAGATTGAATGAAATTTTTGAAATGAACATGACTGAATTGCTGATTTATATCCAAGAGTGTGGCTGTGTTTTCTTCCAGTTATTTCTATTGTGCAAATATTATTGTGAAATGGAATTGTGCAAATATTGGTCAAGAACACTCTATAATCCTCCATTTTACCTTGTATTTTCTACTTACTCTGACTAGAGCAAGAAACATTGAGTTTTAGGGAAAGAAACTCGAGCTGTCAGCTATTTGAGTTTGTTTTGGACCGATTGAAATGGTTGAGGATTTCAAACTATTTTCTAAATTTTTTGGGAACTCCGACCAAACTTTAAGTTTAAAACAACCTAGAAAGTATGATAGTAAAATGCATGTTAAATTGAAGAAGATCTAAGCTAAGAACTAATGGACTTTAGATGGAAAACATGAATCACATTGTGCTAAAAATTCTGTTTCAAATTATCTTAAACTCGTACTTAGATTTTAGGGTCTAACTTTAAACTCTAAAATAGAAATTTATCCAAATCTGACTAAAATCCCATTTACACTATCTCATAAGAGTTTTGCTTCTAAAATGATCTATATAACTTAAATTCACTGATTTTTGGAGAAAAGTTTGAAGTAATATTGGTGACAATTTCTATCAATAGTAGTTGAGAGAGTGAGGACATGGTTTCCAACCTTATTTTCAAGAATTTGATTATAAAACTATATATACCTTAACCTACTTCTTTGATAACTCTTCTAAACTAGAATTTTAAGTGATATTATAGTCGGTTTGACTAAGATAGTATTTTTGGAGTGAAAGTTTGTAGCGGAGAAAAGTTTAGTACTTGTAGTTTGGGCATGTCTCAGGAGTCGATGGTGAGTTAGAAGGAAAACCTATAATCGAGGTGTGACGATCCACTTCATTTGGTGAGTGTTTCAATGGTATGGTCTGATTTGTACTTGATTCAAATGCTGTTTTGATAAGATTATCGATTGATTGAAATGCTAGCTCTCTTGAATTGAATATTGGTTAGGCGAGTGTATAATTTATCGCACTCGACTTAATTTGACTATATCGCTATCCTTCTATTTATATGTGAAAGATATATATGTGCTTGATTTGAAGTCGTTATACTAGTAATGATTGAATTTCTGACGGAGTTAAGTGCTACGTCCGAAATAGATGGAAGCCACCTCTAGAGTTTGAATATGAATATTGCTATTAAATTTCTAACGGAGCTACGTGCTCCGTTCGAAATGGACGAGAGCCACCTCTAGAGTCTTACTACATTCGAAATAGACGGGAGGCACTTTTAGAGTCCGAATATGGATGATTGATCTTGAATAATTGAACGGAACTAAGTGTTGTGCAGTGCTAAGTGCCACTTGCGACGGGGGTCACCTCTAAAGCCCGTACGAGCCACCTCTAAAGCCTGTATCTATCCCGTATCTTTTAAAATTGATTGTACTACGTGTTATTATTTGGTTTGCTCATGTCTGCTCCATGAAAAACGTGATCGTATCACTGTTAAATGATATCTCTGGATATTTCTTGTTACATGTCAAACGTGATTATGTCTTAATGCGACTTTTGAGATACTTATTAGTTTGCTTATATATTTTCTTGGAATCTCACTAGACTTTTAACTCATCCCTTTATTTGTTTTCCTTAACAAGATACGGGACGAGGCTGTGCATATTTTGATTGTTGAGATGGCTAGCAGACTCATCAGGCCAAGTACTAGAGATATACAACACGATACGTATATCGATGATATCGTGCATGTTTTTGGATTATGGTCGACCAGAGATGGTCTGAGAGAACAATTTTTGGGGTCTCTGTGATCTGAGCTCTTTTTCCTGAAGTCTATGTCGCAACAAGCTTCACAATCTTTTCTTTTGGTATACGATCCAATTGGTGTTTGAACTACAAACTATCTTCCCTGTAACTATACGTGGAATTTTAACCTCTGCTCTTACAGTTTATGCACAAAAAGAGAGGGATAAAAACGTTAAAAATAATGAAAAGATGTCTAAAATTCTCCTGTTGCTTGCATCTTCCTCCTTCCTTTTAGCAGCCAAGTGGAAACTGGTGTGCTCTTAACGGTGGTCGAGCCCCAAAAACCGTTTTAGAAAAAAAAAAAGGACAAATGTTCCGGCTGCCACACGAAGCGGCAACAATTGTAACTCTTCTTTTACCCAAAAACGAAGATAAATGGACGCCTTGAGACAAATTTCCCTGTTTTTGGAGTCATTTTATGTATTATATTTACCTGTGATTATCACCATCTTCATTGAATGGGAAAGCATATTTGTCGAGTGGGAATCAAAATTGTCTCCAACAATTCAACATTATTAAGTGTGGTTCATCGTTAATCAGCAGTTCCCAGAGATTTTTTCCTTGTTTTGTAGAAAAGCCATTACAAGAATTTCATCAAGGAAAAACAAAACATTAGAATCATGGTACGGATAAGGTCTGGGATAAATTTTTCTCAAACTTGAGCTCAAGGGACAACCAAAATAAGGGTGGACCATTCACAAAGGTTTTTTTTTTTTTTGGCCAAACTCTTATACGACACTCGAATATTGTTGAAAAGCAGAAATAATAAGGTTACAGTCAGTGGCTTCATGGATAAAGTATTGTTATTATGGTCGGATGCCTTCAGGTTAGGTGCTGGCTAGAAATGGCCGGAAAGTACCTATGTGCTCTCGCGCTTTGTTTAATTTGTCTGAGAACCCAGGGAAAGAGATAAAAATGGATTAAGGTTTCGGATAAGAAGCTTTGCTTTAGAATATGCAAACGAATTACCTGCTGAATTTAAGGAATTTGGAGCAACTAACAACAAATTTTCAAGCTAGAAGCCTATATAATTTTTAACTCAATCTCCTGACCAGGCAGGCTTGAGTAGGGAGGGGAAGGTAAAAAATAAAAATAAAAAGTAACTAAAAACAAAAAATAAAAAATAAAAAAGAGTAGAATAATTAATTGTTTGGCATAATTAATTTGCCAACTCAGATGTATATCATGCAACTATAACTCGCTACTGTAATCATAATTAACCAATTGTTTGACAAATGAAAAGATCTCAAAGCCACTTAGTGTTTGCATCTTCTCAGACTTATTATTGTTACAATTGGTAGACTTATTATTGTTACAATTGACGTATGAATGATTAGTAGACTTAATTATTGCACACCTTGTATATGAATAATCCAGCACAATTCGATTCGTTTATTCTTTCCCACAGATTTTGAGTTCTGTTCTTGGAGATCTTTCAATATTCACCTGCAGCTTGTTGGAGCGGCCTTGAATCATTAATTCTTCACCTCCACTTTATTCGATGCATTTATTCTCTCCCACAGATTTTGAGTTCTGTTCTTGGAGATCTTACAATATTCACCTGCAGTTTGCTGGAGACGGCTTGCATCATTAATTCTTCATGCAGAGTATCGACTCGCTCATCCATGTACCAACCGCCTCCAGTTCGTAAATGATAATCACCACAATAGAACCTATAGGGTGAGCGGATCCACAGTCGTTCAAGTGCTGGAGCATTTTTTACCAAATAAGTAGCAAAATGAATTTCATTTACTGTCCCGTGAAATCCATTAAATTCCACTTCTTTTAATTGACCAAGGCGTCTGGGAGGCCATTCTCTTCCTCTTTCTTCATTGAAACCTCGACAAAGTAACTAAAGCCAAAATAAATCAGTCAGGTTCTTAGCTAAATGCATCGATAGAACATGTGATGCCCAACCTTCTAAAATGAGAAACCAAAATGAGGAGAGTGAAGAGTACATCATAATAAGTTCAGAGAAAGATGTACACTAATAATCATTTATTTTTATTTTATCAGGTCACTGAAGATGCACAAAGAAGCAAAACCAAGTATTTTAGTCACAATAACAAGCAATGATTTTCATAGCACGCTTTCACTTCTTTCAATTTGCCAAAATCATTCAATTAATATCTGCTTAAATTATAACCTTCAAACATGAATTAAGATTGGAGAAGAGAATTTGGTTGAGTGAAAAGTCATGGACATCAAAAGAAAGGTCACCTTGGGCAAAGTTCCTACACATACTGTGGCATGAACAAGAAGTAGAAAGGAGAGAGACAAACAAAAAACCAGGAGAACAAAGTTTGACGGGCAGTTAAGTTGTTTCTCCATGCCAATGGACTGTGGCATCAACAAAGAAGGGTGAAAAACAAAAGACCAACAAGTGATAAATTGGTATTCTTTCACTTTAAAAATCTTCCCACAGATTGCAACAGTAGAGTCGTGATTTAAGCAGCATTGTCTCTTCAAAGTGACACCATTGGAAGTCACACTTCTGACTTGCATCTTTAAAAGCAGCGTGACAAAAAGTGCAAAACACATGCTGTGAGAACGTTAGAAGAACAATTGTTATTTCCCAAAGTTTACTCTGAAATAAGTACCTATGGATCAGCTTTATTCCATAGGCCTGTTTATTGGGGTAGGAACAGGGAGAGTGGGAAGGGAGAAGCAGGGCTCAGAGAAAGAGCAAAGCCATGCCAGGATGCAAGGCTATAGCTAGTAAGCAGCAAAAATTAGGAGTCACTATAAGCATGCAGACACTTATTTGATATGTCAACTGCCAACTATTCACATACTGCATTCTAAAAGGCAGAAGTGGAGCTTAAAGAACAAGCCAAGCCATGCAAGGACGTTGGGATGTAGCAGGTAAGCAGCAAGGTTCACCTTCAAATTGGGACCGACTATGGAATAAGCATGCAAACACTTACTTCAACTATAAAATATTCACATACTGCATTTTAGAAACAACACATCCATCAACAGCTAAAACAGAAAGCTCTTATACAGAATGAAGAGGAAAAAAGACATGCAAAGGTATCAACATCTAAAGAGAGATTTACATCTTACAAACTGGATATTGAAACGATTTTCAATCAATTTAACAAATAAACGAAGTATCTTATACATTACAAATCCACAAGATGTAAGAAAAAGATAATCTTGTACATTATGGACATTAATAGCAATGCTACAACTAGGGCCACCAACAAACCTTGCCAAAGCAAAATCTTATCTAATTCTGCTCAACCAAACAGATGCTCAGCTCAGATTCCATCCAATATCAATTTTATAATAGAAGTGGAAATTATATAAACAAAAAATTTCCTTCCTTTTCTACAGATAAATTGTTTATAATTCGATGGAAACCCCTACATCTGATGTCATAGAGCTAAAATTGACCTTGAAACAAATATGTCAAACCTCTAATCATCCATGCAAATCACGAATATATACACATAAAACATCAAAAGTTGAAAGGAAATCCAGTCATTCTGGTTTTGCTAACTTTCGAAATTTAAAGTCAACCAAACTCTCGATGGAAGATTGGCCTAGATTGTAGTCAAGCTGATTTGACAATAACCCTAGTTGAGGCAATCAACTTAAATGCTTCATATAAGCATCCATGACTAACATCAATTCACACTGAAGGCCATAAGGCTGAGCTTAAAACACTAGAATACTGCTTCTGAGTGAAGGTCATGGACTTAGAGAAAAAAAATTAAAATGGGGCAGTACAAGTAGAAAATATGACAGTTAGAGAACGCTGTAAAAAAGACATTCAGAATGGCAAAAAGAACAGTTTCACAGAGTACTTAACAAAGGATATTATCCCAAATAGACCTAAGGAAATGGAATCATCAAGACTAAAGAAAATTCATTCAGCATTTATTCACTTAGCAAAAAGCACCACAAATTTTAAAAGCAAACTAAATGTAACAATGCCATTTTGAAAATCCAATCTCTTCAAAGAAAGGGCCAATATCTCTTGCTTTAGTTATTCTAAGTCAAAGAATATTAGCCTTTTACAATGTTTCCAAAAAGATGGTAAAAAGACGCTAACTATAAATCAACCCCACCCCCCACCCCCACCCCCCAAAAAAAATCTCACAAAGAAGGGGAGAAAATGGGAAAAATTAATAGATTTAGTAACTAACCTGCAGACGAAATTCTTCTAAATGTGGACAAGCCTCCAAAATAGGCACAACATTCAGTAGATCAGGTGGAGACTTCATTCCTGGGACAAAATATAATGTCCTAAGATTGCTGAACATATCCATCTTTCCAGGTGTATATTTTAGCTGAATCAAGAGAAACAAAAAGCATGAATACCACTGCCAAGAATTGGACACAGAAAATGATGATTGCCATAGTCAATACAAACCTTGTCACTGTTTGTTTGGAATAATAAGTTTTTTAACTTAGGACAGTCCTTCAGAACTTCTCCAAAAAAATAAGGTATGGAACCATTGCCAGTGAAGGTGATGCGTGCATCTTCTAGTTTGGGAACACAGAGCGAAAACTTTATCGGGCCATTGTGAAAGAAAGAAAAAGTAATCAGGTTGCCAGCACAGATATCAATCTCCTCCAAACCAGGACAGGAATGAACATACAGAAACTTCAATTGGAGACACGGACCAGAGATAGAAAGCTTAGGAGTAAGTTTACAAAATCCGAGTCTAAGAGTCTGAAGGTTAACACAAGAAGACAACATTCTCGGTAATTCTCCATCACTCAGGTGAACCAAGTCTAAATAAAGGCCCTCAAGGGAATTAAATTGGGTAGGGAAACTTGGTTGCAAAGAACAAGCCAATAAGCGCAAATGTTTCATTGTAGCTACTGCAGTAAGAAGCCGAAATGAGACAGGGAAAAGCTCACCCATGTTGGATTTTGCACATTGACAAAGAGGCAAAGAAGAACAGATAAATTTGAGGTCAAGTTCCTGAACATCTAAAGTAGCTACAACCTGCATCCATTGAGTGAATTTGGGCTCAAATTCTTTCATGAAACAGCATGAAATTCTCAAATAAGTTATGCTTTGACCTGAATAAAGCTGTAAAGACTGATCTACAGCTTCCAAAAACCTAAACTGTACCCAATGGCTACCCATATCGTGAGAGCAATTAGGCCTAAACATGTCAAGGCAATCTAGGTGGAGTTCAGACCTAACTTTGCAAACATTTTTCCACCTTCTTGACAAAATTCTTGTCCCAACAGCCTCTATCAAGTCCAAACGTGAAAGGACATCTGACAGCAAATCATCTGGCAGTCGACTGATACTATCCTCATTCGCAAGACCATCATCAGCCTGATTCAAAATTCCAAGCAGAACACAATGTACATGTTAGGAAAAAGAATCTATCAATACATCATACCCACTAGATAAACTAGCAAACATTATAATAACAAACTTTTTCTGATAAACAACTTATCCTTTCCAAAAATACACTTTCAAATTGCTTAACATAATAGAGCAACAATTGCTTCTTTTCCAGAGGAAAACAATAAGATTTAGCAGATATGATTACAAATGCATTACTATGGGGCTGTTTCGCTTGCTTTACATTTAACAAAAAGGTGTTTAATCAGAATTAGCAAAAGATACTCTTGGAAAGATTCAGGATTTCAGTTCTCAGTTCATTTGCCAATTACAAATAATCTAAAATGTAGACACAAAAGCAAACAAGAACATCAAAAGAACCGATGCTGGAAAATTAGAATCTAAAATCAGTTGAAAAGTCAAATGAGAACACCCCCCATTAACATAACAAGAGTGCCCTGCCACTTTTTCCAATGCTAATGTTTGATTACGTCTTTACCCACTGGAAATCTTCTTCCTTTCATTATTATTACAGAAAATATATCTCAATGTTCACAGAAAAGACACCCAGATTCAACTTGAATAGTTACAGTCTACTCAAGAGTTAAACCAAACTGTAATCAAGTTAAAACTAAAGACATAGATTAAACACAAGTCACCAGGTTTTTCATCAGAATCTTAAAACTGTTATTACAGTCTAAGAAAGAGCAATTGAAAAAGTTTATCCTAACTAATAATGGTAGGTCACTTGGTTTTTTTGACAACTCATACTTACCTGACCATTTTATTGAGTCAAACTAAAACTCAATTTTCACAAAACTTCTCAATAAGCTCAATAAATTGGTCCCTACCAACCAAGTCTCTTTCAGTTTTTGAATGTATGTCCTATTATTACAGAATAGATTTTCTCTTCCATAATATGATTCCTTAAGCAGCGCCATACTATAACTGTCCAAACAGCAGAACAAGCAAACATCTTTCTTGAGGAAGCAAGACCTATCAATATTTGCCAACTCGTCTTTGTCTGACGACTGCCTCAATTGAAAACTTGGGTCGGCTCATTTTCATAGGTGAGGTTTGCCCATTGGACTTAATATCCATTTGCGCTCTAAACACCATATCTGTTTTCTTTTTTCTCTTTGTACAAACAATAAAGAGGCTACTTCTAATGTAACGAATAAAACTAACATATATTGTGGCAAAGTGAGCTTCGACCATCATTGTGCTAATAATTTTTTCTTACAACTGTTTATTCTAGACTTGGATATATACTAATATTCCCAATGTCTCAAGTTGAGTCATGGGAATGGCTTGTGAAACTTGGATACTTGGAAACAATGGGGTGATAGGAAAATTAGATAATCAATAGCAAGTAAACAGGTGGAATTGTGTTCATGTTTATTAATCAAAGTCTTCCATTCATTTTTAAAAAATGGGTTTCCTTAGAAAAGTATGAATATTATGTAGCTATTAGTTGTCATATGCTTCTTATTATATTTCGTGATCAAACAATGCATAGCATATTGCTACCAGAGTAAAACAAATAACTGAGCATAAGTACCTTATGAACAAAATCTTGCTCGTGCTTTTCTTGCAAAACAATTGCTTTCCCCTGTCCACCAAAAGATTTAATTGCTTTCTGAATGGCCGCCCCAGTTGCCGCCAAGAGGATTGCAAAAGGCAAAGCTCTGTTTCCAAACCAGCACATTGTTGTTTGTTCCTGAAACAATAACGAAAAAGAACTTCTTACATATTGCCAGAATACTTCTATAGTACCTCTGCGGCCAACGGGATGCAATTTTCACATTTAATTTACAAGCTCAAATCCAAAAAAAAAGAATAAAATAAACTAACAAAAATTTGATTTTCACTTGTTAATAGCAGTACTTATTAACAACTACTCCAAACCCAAAAAAGAGAGAACGAAAGGAACTGCCTTTGCAATAACAATTACTTCATTTTGCTGTCTCCAACAGCAAAAACTAACAAAGATGCAATCTTTTGAACCAAAATAAAACTAACAAAGATACAACTTTTGCAAGATAATTTATTTCATTTTGCTGTCTCCAACAGAAAAACTAATAAAGATGCAATCTTTACATGTTAATTGGCATCATGGCTAAGATTAAGCAGCCCTGATAAGGGGAAAGAGGATAAAAGTATACAGGAAACAGCAAAGATATGAATTTTACTTGTTAATAGGCAATACGGGATAACATAAAGCATCCCCTACCAGAAAGAAGATAAAACGAGAGAAAAGTACTTTAATTTCCCTGACCTCCAACACCAATACCAACGAAAAGATGCAATTTTGACATGCAATTTGGCATGACAGATTAACTTTAACCAGCCCGACCGCCTATTCCAAAAAAAAAATTTTTTGAACAAAATCAAAGATTTTACTCTTATAATACATCTCAGAACAAAGTATCCAATGAAAAAGTCAGAAGTCAGTTAATATTTATAATTCACTGCAGTTGAACACGATGAGAAAGACTTGCCACCCAAATTACGCAATTGAGGAGACTTGCCACCCAGATTGCAGAGATTCACAAAGCAGAAAACCACCAAACGGTCCAAACCGACTCAGTGAAGATGCACATTAGCTTACGTGGAAGCTGCTCAACCCTACATATTAAAAGCACCGAACGCTGAGGAACAGTAGAAGTGTCGTGCCCTCGGTGTTCGAGTGCTGAATTGTGATTTCCAGCCAAGCCTGGGGGCAATTTGGGTTTCATTGGTTCTCTGTTGTAGGTTTTGTTTCCTTAGTGGTTCCCTTTGTCTTTGTGCATGTCAGTGGGGCCATTCCTAATGCCCCTCTCAGGTCAGTTTATTACGGCTTAGCCTAGGATGGATGTTAGCCAAAAGACGATAATAGCCCTACCAACAACAATTTATTCCAGTTTTACAGCATTATTTTTTTAAGGTGTTTTATAAAATATTTTATTGTAATAGTGTATACGGAAGAATTTTTCACTATAAATGTTTTTTGTGAAATTTTGAGAGGTATTTTTGAGATACGTTTTTGGATTTTTTAAAATTTAAAACTTTTTATACTATTTTTTAGCCTACTATCGCCATTATTTCATCCCTCTCTTTTCTCTTCCTTATCCTTCTCTTTTCTTCTCTCATTTTTCTTCTTCCTTTCTTTCCTCCCCTCGTCCCTGCCTCCCTTCCCCTTCCCTTCCCTTTTCCAGCCACGTCTCACCCCTCTCTTTTCCTCCCTCCTCGATCTAGTCGAGACCAAATCAAGGCCTTTGGTCATGACATCATGGCCAGATCATAGGAAGGGCCCTCCTTTCTTCCGCCACGTCTCGCCTCTCCCCTTTCCCCCCTCTCCAATCTAGTTGAGGCCAAATTAAAACCTTGGGCCACGACATCGTGTCCAGATTATAATGTCACGGGTTACTAAATATGCTATAAGCAAACACATTGTATGGCATTAACGATCGTCCAAGACTTAAATTTTGAATGGTTACTAGTTTAGTCTAATTTCTAAGTGTGCAGAATTGATGCAGAAGCTTAAACATAAAGAGTAAGAAGAATAAGGATGAAGGCTAGAAGGAAAGCTCTATATTATTTGAGACTCCAAAAGTTTCCAAAAGTTGCCAATAGCTAGTTTACAAATGAGAGAGTTTGACCTATTTATGAGCAAGTCAAGAATTCTTTACATGACTCTAAAAATTCTACCAACTAAACTACCCAATTTGTTTATTTAGATTGTTCCCTTATTTTATGCTACATAAGTGAGAACTTGTAGAAAGTTCCGCACCTTACCAATTCTAAACCCCTTATGTACAAAACTCTTGAACAATCTAGAGTGTTCCGGAAGTCTCTAAATTTTGCTACACATTCTCTATAATGTTTGGAGAAACTTCCATGTTTTGGCCAGAGCTTCATGGCTAACCACTTGTTTGGGAGATTAGGTTATGGATTTACTACTAGTCCTAGTCTTTTGCATGGACACTATGTACAGTGGGCATGACTTGGATGGCCAAGTCTGGTCACGAGTGGGGATAGACACAATCGCGTGCGAATTGGGTGCAATTCTTATCATCCTCCCCCACTTGAACAAAACATCGGCCCTGATGCATTTAGTGCTCCCAATAGTCGTCGAAATTTGTCCTGAATCATGTACATCTTAACATCCTCCTCTTGTTTCGGTCAGAAGAAGTGATGTTGTATTACATTCAGTGCATACTTAGGTCCTGTTTCCTCAACACGATATTCCCGTATGATGTCCTCGCGCACATTGTCACAATTTTGCTTGTACACGGCATGCTCACTATGAAGGACCCCTTTTTTGTCAAGCCAATATTTGGTGGTCTTGCCTCTGGCCGCTAATATCTTCAATGCTTAGATTTGTGGATCAATTTCATATCTCTTTTATATGCGACCCTTCAATGCTACGGTGCCCTATGCACCGTCTCTCTGCTCGATTGGCTTGTGTGTTGCAGCCCCTTCCTCAAGCTTGTCCTCACATATTTTCCGACCCTTCACACCTTCCCCCTTGAGTTATTGCAGGCTCACCTCGTTCTCACGGGAAACATTCACAACACAATGTGCCCTTTCTTGCGTAATTAGCATAGTGTTTTCGTGTGGCACCATGATTAGTTTAAGGTTGTCTATGAATTTCATTCCAAAAACTACCGTATAATCGTCCATTAAAATGATGGTGAAGGTTGTCATCCCAACCCATTGTCCCAATTTGACGGGTACATTAGTTGCTATCCCGTCTAATGACACCCACTTTTCATTGCTGTCTTTGAACTGATCTTTGCATGGCTCCCATATTAGACCCAATGATCATGCGGTATTGTCACTCGTATAGTTGACATCTGTACCCATATCAATCAAGACCTATACCTTGCATCTGTTGATTCTGGTGTCCACATACATTTGGTCTCACCTTTGGTCATCCACCATTGCTTCAACCGCGCTAAGCATCATACACTTGAGTTTTCGCCATTCCTCCTCGTACTAGCATTCTTGTATGATAGCATGTAGCAACTTTCTATCTGGAAATCCCTTGAAAAATCTAATGGGTCTTGACATGTATAGCAGTCGAAATTCTTGATCTTGCCCTTGTTGCCTTGAGCCCATTTAGTTTCATCTGTGGTGGAAGGAGTTTTCAACCATTCATGTGATTTCGCAAGATTCGAGTGACAATCTCCCCGACTTGAGCCTTGGTCGGATCTCTTTCCTTTGTCCCTTCTATCATCCCTTCATAGGATCTTATATAACTTGGATACAACCGTTGTTTCAGCTAAATCTTTTACGTGCCGGCTTTGGAGTTGAAATTTGATCCATGATCGCAATTTGTCCATAAACGTGAAGAATACGTCCTTTGGTGACATATTTGGTATCTCTAGCAAGAGTTTAGAGAACTCCTTCACATACTCGTGGACATGTTCGTTCCTATGTTGTAAATGATGAAACTTGGCACGAGTTTCATCTTCCATGTCTGCTAGTTAGAATTGCTTCTTCTGCTCGTTCTTGAACGCGTCCCAAATAGTGACGACGTCAGACCCTTTCCTTATATCATTACACCTTCTTCAACACCATATTAAATTTGAATCCTTCAAATATAATGGGGTTGTTTGCAGCTTGCCTACTTCCTCCATGATGCCAAGTGTGTCAAAATATCATTCCAACTCGTACAAAAAAATTTTTGTATCATATCCCATCCTTGCTCCACTATAAGTATCGAGTATGTGGCACCTCGACCCTAAGTGTAGATACGGTGGCTCCCATTGTTCTTTGTATGTTTAATTTGTCTAGTTCCAAGCGAAACCTTTGCAACTCCTCTCGAATGTACGAAGGCTCCGTGATCGTTGCATTTGCTAGCCAACTGTGCTCTAGATACATCAAGCTCCATATTGGGATTGGCAAGCTCCTCTTGGAAAGACAACATATTAAGTCTAATCATCTCGTTCCCTTTGAGAAGTCTACCAACAGTCTTATTTAGCACGACTTACATGTTCCCACATAACTCTTCCACCTCAGATTGCGCTATGCATTCATTGAACTCAGCCCAACAGTCTTGGTGATTAGTAATGGTTAGCTCTATCGTAGTTAGCCTCTAGTCAAAAGCGGCCAGCGACTCTTAAATGGCGAACTTGTCCTGACGGCCCTTGCTTCGAGTAACCCTCTCTGGTTCTCGCAAGACATGCTTATTCTCAACCTCTCATTGTATGCTAGCATCTGATATAATGGCTATTCACTTGTCACCTAAACCCACGGTATCAGAACAGTTCCGATAACAACTGTCATGGGCTGTTTAATGTTCTATAAATAAATGAAACATGCAACACTAGAGATTATGAAAGCCTGAAATTCGTTGTGCATTTTATGTTTTTATTTAAAATTGAAGGTGTTGCAATTTAGTTGTTATTATATAGTTTATGTGTTTACTTGTTTCTTGTGATTAAATAATTTGAATATACGCTATATTAGTATTGGATCAACTTTTATAGGAATTAACGCTAGATTAAGAAACTAGTGGGGACATAACATGATAATCTAGAAGTAAGGGATAATTGTTAGAGTAACTTTTGACAACTTACATGTGTTTGGCATGTAGAGATGACAATTTTGCTAAGTGTTGGTAATCAACCACAAGACATAAACCTCTTTAGTGAAAGCTTTCTTTTGTCTTTCTCCATTGTTTAGCCGAGAGAAATAAGCAAAGTTGAGAGAAAAATTAAAGTTTTTCTTCCTTGTTTCAGCCGAGAGACTAGAGGGAAAGGTGCAAGATTTTTCCTTGTCTTGCTCCAACCTTCTAGCCAATAGTGAGAGAGAGAGAGAGAGAGAAAGCTTGAAATTCTTGCCCTTTCTTCCTTGTCTTGCAGCCAAGAGAGCCCTTGCCTCCTTCTATTTTCCCCCAACAAATCAAGAAGAGAAAAGCTCCAATATTCCAAGTTTATTCCAGCCAAGAAATTGAGTGGTGAGTGAGAAGTTTTGTTCCTTTTCTGAGTCTTGAAACTGAGGAAGAAACTAGGAAAGTTTGAGGGATTTCAACCATGACCAATTCACAACCAAGGGGAAAGAGCTTGAGAAAGATTGGAGAAAATTTGCTCCATCCCTCTTGTTGCAGCCGAGAGAGAAAAGAAAAAAGTGGAAAGCTGTCAGTCTTGATTCTTCAATTTTCAGCTTCAATTTCTTGGGAAAAAAAAGGTAAAAAAGTGCTGTAAATCTTTTCTTCTTCCATGCCTTTTTAAGCTTTAAGGATGTAAGTTAGATTTGAGCAGAAAAGAGAAAGTTTTGGTGAAGAAAAGTTTCAATTTTCTTGCTGAAAATTTTGCTTAGCTGATGACAGAGTTATTGTGGTAGTTGATGACAAATTTTGTGAAGTTTTTTTGGTAAAATGCTTAGCCGAAACAAATATGTAATAGAACTAGATTATTGCTAATTCCTTCATTTTATGTTGGATAAATGATATGCTGTGTATTTGGTATTGTCAAACAAGTGGAAGGTTGAAATTTAGGG